CAGTGTGACAGCCCCCCTGTCCCTGCCAGTGTGACAGACCCCCTGTCCCCGACAGTGTGACAGACCCCCTGTCCCCGACAGTGTGACAGCCCCCCTGTCCCCGACAGTGTGACAGCCCCCCTGTCCCCGACAGTGAGCCGACAGCAATACGATGATACTCCACAGAGATGAGTTCATTGGGTATAAACATAGAACTGTTTGTGGACGCGCACCCTAACATGAAATGAACTCAGGAAAAGCTGCATCAGCTGTGACAGCAACTCATGTAAGAAAAAAACAATCTTAGAAAAATGAGAGGGCCAGGGAGCATATGGGAAATCTCTCTCCCCACCACTCAAGTTTACCATGAACCAAAATTTATTCTTAAAAAACGTCTGTTTTTTTTTTTTTAAGTGAATCATTAATTGACCCTAACGTACTGTACAGAAAAGGCCAGTAAAAGCCCCAGTGCCATCAAGGGCAGAAAAAAAAAATAGAAGTGATCCGTGAGCAGCCTGGAGTCTGGGCTGGGGGGCGGGGGTGGGGGAGCAGCACAGAGTGGAGGGAATGACCACAGATCACATGATCACATCCTTCTCCTCTGCTAGTTCTACCATTCCTGGGGTGTCTCTTTGATCACGGAGCTTTAAAGAGAAATGGCAAGTGGGAAGCTTCCTGTTGAGGACAGTTGTCCCAGATTTAAAAATAAAAAACAGATCTACCACGCTCACATAGACCAAAGGGCTAGTTAGATGTCTTCAGATATTTGGAAGATTTGCGTGGGAATAAAGGAAAACTTTGTACAGAGCCTTACGGTTCTCAATGATCCTTGACTCTTACTATTTAATTCTTACTTTGACTGGGAGGGAAACCAGAAGACACTGTTCTCACCGTTTAGAGGAGGAACCCGACGCTCAAAGAAGTTAGCTTCACTTTGTGCAAAGTAGCAAGGTGTTTAAAAGGGGATTCTGAGATGCTGGGGTGCTGGGATTCTGAGATGCTGGGGTGCTGGGACTAGAATACAGGCCTCTTTGGGGGGCAAGGTGTGTCCTTAAGGCATAATACAGTAAATTCAATGTAAATAAACACACACATACACATAAAACAAAACAAAACAAACAACCCCCAATACAAAAAACAAAACAAACCAGTAAGAAGCCAAGTGTAGTGGCATGTATTTATAATCTCATCACTGGGGAATCTGAGGCAGGAGGATCACAACTGGAGGGCAACCTTGGCTACAAAGTAAATAAAATCCTGTCTCAAAACAAAGCAGAAAGTGCTCCCTAACAATAGAAGAAGAGTCCCATGAATTCTGTCAATGGTACTGTTAAAGGAGAAATTAGATACTCTATAGCTTAGAAAAGATTCCTTCGCTGGGTGGGGGTGGCTCATGTCTTGAATCCCAGCCCTCTGGAGTCAGAGACAGACGGATCTCTGTGAGTTCTAAGCCAGTCTAGTCTACAGAGTGAGTTCCAGGACAGGCTCCAAAGCTACACAGAGAAACCCTGTCTCAAACAAAACAAAACAAACAAACAAACAAACAAACAAACAAACAAGCAAAAAGATTCCTTCACAGAAGAAGACTTCGGATAACCTTCTTTGCAGCTTTATTTGTATTTATGTGCTTCATTTGTATTAAGCAAGGAAGGAAACACACAAATATGTTGGCAGCCTGTTCTTCTAATCTGTCAGTTTGCTGCTACCTAGAGGTGGGCTCTGAAGATATACTTTCATTTGAAAAAAAAAATTTATTTGGAGGGGCAACAGGCAAATGACTCACATACATTGTATCAAACATGTGTCTGTTGTGGAATATTCCCTCAACTATGTAAAGGTTGTTACATTTGTTTCTGTTGTGGACTATTTAACTATTAAAGGTTGTTACATTTGTTTCTGTTGTGGACTATTACTTTAAACTATGTAAAGGTGTGTTACAGTGTTTCTGTTGTGGAATATTACTTCAACTATGTAAAGGTGTGTTACATTTATTTGCATTGTATTTGTTTAACTAGGCAAAGGTGTGTTACATTTGTTCATGCTGCATTTGTTTAATGATGTAAAGATGTGTTGCTTTGCCTGCCTAAGGCATCTGATTGGTCTAATAAAAAGCTGAACAGCCAATAGCTAGGCAGAGAAGGATAGGCAGGGATGCTGGGCAGAGAGGATAAGTAGGAGAGATGGAATAAGAGAGAAAAAGAGAGACACTTAGGCTGCCAATCAGGCAGCCATGCCAATCAGGCAGCCACCGCCCAGCCCGACACAGAGCAGGACATACAGAATGAAAGAAAGATAAAAAAAACCCGAGGCAAAAACATAGTGAAGAGAAACAGGTAAAAATAAGTTCTAAGAGCTAGTGGGACAAGCATAAGATAAGGATGAGCATTCATGACTAATAATAAGTCTCTGTGTCATGATTTGGGAGCTGGCTGATGGGCCAAAAGAAAGCCTGGTATGTGTATTCATGGATCCAGTGTGTTGGCGTTAATGTCTCTTATACTTCAATCCTATCTTTTAAAACCACACAGAGAGACAGTAATGAAAAATCAGCTGCCTGGGCTGAAGGATAAGGCCAAAATAACCTCAGAGATTCAGGAACCCTGATGTTTGTGCAGCCTTGACTGTCTCTGTTTTGACTGCGTCTCTGCAGCGTATGGCTTTTTTTGAGGTTCGTAACTATGGAGACTGATGTGACTTCCCGCTGTGAAGACTCAACCCAGACAGCATCAGCACAGGCTTCCTCATGCACACAGATCCCAGGGAAGGATGAGGAATGAGTGAAACCAAGGCATCGG